CACCTGTACCCTCCACACCTGTACACTCCACACCTGTACCCTGCACACCTGTACACTCCACACCTGTACACTCCACACCTGTACACTCCACACCTGTACACTCCACACCTGTTCCCTCCACACCTGTACCCTGCACACCTGCTCCCTCCACACCTGTCCCCTCCACACCTGTCCCCTGCACACCTGTACCCTGCACACCTGTTCCCTCCACACCTGTACCCTGCACATCTGTACCCTCCACACCTGTACCCTGCACACCTGCTCCCTCCACACCTGTACACTCCACACCTGTACACTCCACACCTGTACCCTGCACATCTGTACACTCCACACCTGTACCCTGCACACCTGCTCCCTCCACACCTGTACACTCCACACCTGTCCCCTCCACACCTGTACCCTGCACACCTCTACACTGCACATCTCTACCCTGCACACCTCTACCCTGCACACTCCACACCTGTACACTCCACACCTGTACACTCCACACCTGTACCCTCCACACCTGTCCCCTCCACACCTGTCCCCTCCACACCTGTACACTCCACACCTGTTCCCTCCACACCTGTACCCTCCACACCTGTACCCTCCACACCTGTACCCTCCACACCTGTACCCTGCACACCTGTACCCTGCACACCTGTACCCTCACAGATGTTGGCAGCAGCTGTCCTCTTACTGATCCAGATGGGTTCTGTTTGTTTTTGGACTCACCACCTCGTAGTGTCCGTACTGAGCAGCCAGGTGCAGAGGGATGTGTCCGTCCTGAGAAGCACCGTTCACCGACGCCCCGGAGCGAAGCAGCATCAGGACGGATTCGGCCTTCCCCTGCCAGGCGGCGTAATGCAGTGGACGCATTCCTGTACGACCGGACCAGAACCAGATAAGATGGGTTAAAGTCTTTATTACCAGTTTCAACAGTCAGATAAAATGCTGTACTGAAATATTTATTTGAGTGTGAGACGAGCAGAGACTCACCGTTACTGTCTCTGATGTCCACGGTGGCCTGAGCCTCCAGCAGCGCCGCCAGCAGCTCCATGGTTCCTGTGAGTGCAGCATGATGCAGCGCAGAAAACCTGCAGGTCAAAGTTCAGAAACAAACATGGTTTTGATTTCTACAACAGACGTTAGAATCAGTCAGTCTTCTACACTCCATAATCTGAAGTTTTTCCTAAATATCATTAATAAAATCATGAAATTAATGCTTTTTGTTGATCATTGGTTCCTTCGTTAGCTGGATGGTTTCTCTTGTTAGCCTAATGCTTCCTCCACTAGCCCATTAGTTCCTCTATTAGCATGTTGATTTCTCTGTTAGCATGTTGATTCCTCTGTTAGCATGTTGATTCCTCTATTAAATAGAGGAATCAACATGCTAATAGAGGAATCAACATGCTAACAGATAAATCAACATGCTAACAGAGAAATCAACATGCTAATAGAGTCTATTAGCATGTTGATTTCTCTGTAAGCATGTTGATTCCTCTATTAGCATGTTGATTTATCTGTTAGCATGTTGATTTCTCTGTTAGCATGTTGATTTCTCTGTTAGCATGTTGATTTCTCTGTTAGCATGTTGATTTATCTGTTAGCATGTTGATTTCTCTGTTAGCATGTTGATTTATCTGTTAGCATGTTGATTTA